TGGGAGTTGCTGGGGTGGGGGGGAGGCGAGAGGCTTTTGCCCGTATCTGAATATATCTGTATATAATTGTATATATTTTCTTGTATGATTCATTAGTGTTTTAATTAAAGCTGTGTAGTTTAGTTTTCAATCCAGCCAAGTCTCTCTCTTTTTCTCTCTCTCCTTCCCTACCTGGGTTGGGGGGAGGGGGGATCGAGAGCATTGTTGTCGGACCTGAGTCAAACTCTGACAATGCTGGGAGCCAGTCCCATTCAGTCACTTGTAACATTCAACATTCCCTGCACCTCTTCCCTCCACTTTCAAGTTCTGCTTCGTTATAGTTTCAGTAAGTTTAGAGTAAGTTAGCTTTGCATCCTTTCTGGGGATTTCCTGAAAGAATTAGGTAGAACCAAATAAATAAATATCTCCGTTCTGGAAGCCTGGGCACAGGGAGGCTATGATGCAGAAAGTAGTGGTTTTTTGGTCCCCTCCAGCATATTGACAATTCTGTGTTATAGCAAGCATCTGTCAAGGATTTTGCAGAGGTAGCAAGAGTATTTCTCATAATATGCCCTTCTGTGTTCCCATAGGCCAACGCATTTTCTGCAGCAAGCCCAGGCAGTGGTTGTAATTCCACTGGGGCTTCACTCTGACATACTTTGCCATCTGCATCCCCCAGCTTTAAATGCAAGCTCAGGACAGAGCAAACAAACAGGGGACGTGAGAGTCAGGTTTAACACAGCAGCTCTTTAGGCTGTTATATCATTATGAATCAGGGCAGAAAGGTATGAGTTATCACATGCTGAGGATACAGACTGATCTCTGTGGACTAGCGTGGGAACTTTTTGCTTGGCACAGACCACGCAAAATAATGACATATTGCAAGATCAACCAGAAGTGACAGCATTAAATTGGATTTGATGACCTACAAAAGTGTCTACCATAAGGGAAAGAAATATTTTTTCCATTGGTGAAGAACCATACTTGATCCAGAAGTGAAGGCAGTAGACAAGATGGGCTATGATTCCTACACCTCTGGGGAAAGTTAACTGGGACAAAAACTTAGTGAATGGTGGATATTCCTTTTCAAATCAATAACACTTTAAAACAAACTGTTTTTTGGAGGGAGTGTGAACTATGGATATTCTAGGTGATGAAAGACACTGACTTCTTAGGGCTTCTTTTCCAGCTCAACATGGCATCCTCCATGGCCTGTTTTGTTCTATGCTATAGTGTCACTTAGAATAAGAATTTTACATGCAGCTAGAAGCTTGACTGCTTATCAAGACACCAATAGTTTCTATACTTACTTTGTTTCTCAACAAGTGAATTAGTTTGTTAAAAGCCCCATTAGTCTGGTTAGTTTTGGCTCCCACATGTATTAAAACTTTGGAATCTATTTGGATGCCATGGCACTTAAAATACTATCTACTGAACAATCAAAACCTAGGATAAGATTCAGGATATCTTGTTTCATCAGGTAAAGTTATTGGCAACTTGCAGCTCCATTAGTTGCCACCAATTAACTATCACAACCTGGATATATATTTTGCATATTGGTATATTGTCACTTTTTTTCAACTTTGAGGTTGAAATGCACAGCCTTTATATTTATTTTTTTTAGGTTTCTAGTGGATTTGTCAGCTTCTAAATGCAATAACCAAACTATTTCCATTGTGGTTGATCTGAGCTCTTTTTTTTTTTTTTTAATTAAAAAAAAAAATATTACTAGCATAATTCTATTTAAAAAATCTCTTTTCCATAGCCAAGCTGTAGTCAAGATAGTACTTCATTTTTTACATCACTTTATTAAATATTTGCCTTAAGTAACTGGAATAAGGGAGATTTAGGTTAGACATTAGGAAGAAATTCTTTAACGTGAGGGTGGTAAGATACTGGAACAGGTTGCCCAGGGAAGTTGTGGAAGCCCCATCCCGGGAAGTGTTGAAGGACAGGTTGGATGGGGCTCTGAGCAACCTGGTCTAGTGGGAGGTGTCCCTGCCCATGCAGGCGGGTTGGAACTAGGTGATCTTTAAGGTCCTTTCCAAGCCAAACCGTTTTATGATTCCATGATTTGGGCCATGTTACAATTGTCTTATGTAAAGAAGACAAAAAGGAAAAGTTGTGTTTAATATTTTTGTGTCAGAATTTGAAGTAGCTTTTGCAGTTAACTTTGCTGCAGACTTTGTCAAACTGACAGCCTGTATTTTATTATCTGACATCAAATTAATTATCTGAGTTTTCTAAAATCCCATTTGCTGCTCATTATTTTGTCCTCATGGCTGTTCACACCAGGTGCCATCAGGCTGTGCAAAAATTGTTCTGATTGTTTCACTCTGAGAACTCTATTCTGTGTATCTATTTTTAATTATGGTCCCTTTATTTTTATTCACGATTAATTTTCCGTAAGGCAGTTACTGTGATGGAAACAACCAGGTAATTCTTCAGCTCTCACATGAACTACCATTAGGAAAAGAGGTATGACAATGGAGTGAGGTTATGCTCTTGACCCAAGATTGATTGCATTCACAATGATGAGTGTAAGGTTTTGGTTTTGTTGATTGATACTGATGATGGGATTTGCTTGTTTATGTAGATACCACATGGGGTATGCTGTGACAAACATAAACAACAGGGAGCAATGATATGGCTAGTTCTCAACAATTCAAATAAACGTGAAAGAAAAAGCTGTTGCTGTTCTTGAGACTTCATTTTTGCTTATTTGAGAATGCTTGAAAGTGACCTCTGGAGAAACCAGTTGCATTTTTTAAATTTTTCTCAGGAAACAGACTAAAATTCGGGTTACCTAAGCATCATCTGTGGTAACATGTGATGCATCTTATCCAGGAGAGAAAGCATTATCCCTTTGCTGAATCTGCAGGCCATAGCTTGGATCCCGAAACTGGAGTAGGAACCACTGTCAGTGATTAACTCAGCCTGTTCATTTATTGGGAACTGGTATATACCAAATTTCTTGAATCTTTTATCACTTCATTCAATCTAAATGGCTAAACTTAGGTGACACATTTCCCATTGGTGCCATCAGTACTTTGTGTCAACTTGTTTTCTTCAGATTGCAGTTCAGGAATGGGTTTATCCCTTCTTTGGAGGAATCAAGCTACTTTAGAAACCTCTTGTTTTTCTTATAAATTTGCTTGATTTGTCTTTCTAGATGAAGACTCTTCATTGAGCACATATCTTAAATTATTTTATTATGTGTCACAAGATACAAAGAAATAACCTTTTATATTCCACAAACTTACAGATTAATCACAATGTTCCTTTCTTTTCTGGTATCTAATATATTAATATCATACATGCTGTAGAAGGTACAGGGTAGGCAAGAAGATATTTATCTTGCTTCAGTATTTTTAGAGCATGGCATACAATTACTGTTTCAGCATATTAGGCTGGATGTACATTAAGCTTCCTCTGGAATTAAGAAGTCACTAGAAAAAATCTAATGTATGCCTTTTCTTCTACAGAGCAGAAAGGTCTTGCCAATAAGTCACATTCAAATGGCCTCGAGATTGTTTTCTCCTAGTCTTCCTTTTCATCAGCAATTTCCTTAAAATATAATTCGTTAAGTGCCATAAGATTTTCTTCTTTGGAGTGGAGCAAGGTTTCTGAATTAGTTCTAAGTCAGTCAAACTCTCCATGCTTAGCATGAAGGCAGCACAAACATTTGTGGCAGAGTAATTTAGGGAGTAGTATACTTTACTTTGGAGTTAGAAAAGAGACTCAGTAGCTTGGGAGCACCTTACAATGGTAGCATCACCAAGAATTCATCTTATGACACCACACTGGCTTTCCTTTTTTTGTTCTGGAAACTTGTCTTGATAAAACTGCTGAGCTTATTTGAGAGTGAGATTTCCTATGCTGGTGATGCTGAGTATTGTGACTGCTTTTTAGTATCTTGACCTAGGTTATGGTCCAGTTAACACTTGCTTAAAAGCCTGATTAGATCTCATAAGAGCTAATTGATAACCTTCTCAGAGCTGCAATTGTGAAGTCTCATATTGTTGTTTTGCATTGTATTTAAACAAATATACATTGTACATGTATTACATACATGTACATACATGTACATACATGTACATACATTACAATACATGTACATGTATTCTTCTCATTAGAACTACAGTCAGATATGTTGTTTGGTTGGTTATTTCCAGTTCTTATTCCCTTATTTCCATTTGTGGTTTTGAGAAGAATTTTGGAAAAGGTCAGATGAAACAGTGGCTGCAAACATCAAAGACAAATTTCTTTTCCTTTTTAATTCATCTCTTTGATCCTTTTGCCCTGTATACCTAGATAATAAATTTGTAATTGCCTTTAAAGGGAACATGGTAGTGGTTTCACATCTTTAGGAATAGCACCAGTCCCCCTTGTTACTGGGAACTGTTCCTGCATCTTGATACATTTCTAAGATTTTAACTCTGTATTGAAGCTGCAATGAGTAAAAAAGATCTGTTTAGCTATTTCTGCTTGTTAGCCAAACCTTTTTTTTACCATGCAGTAAACTCAGTTTTTAAGTAGGGACTTCACATTTTGTTTTTTTGTACTTTTTGCACCTCTGACTGACTCAGATATTTCCCGTAGCTCAACCACCGTCTCACCTCTCCGTTTTGATTGGCACTGTATGGCAAGAGCAAGGGTGTTGCTTAAGATTTGGAGATGATGGGAAGAGTAGCATTTGCAAAGGGTGGTTGTAGGGCCCTTGTGGAAGAGTTTTGGAGCAGTGTGAGGAGGATGGTTAAATAGCATAACTTGGATCAGTGAGCAGAAAGAGAATGTTCACTGAAGTCGAGTGGAGATTGCAGGGGGCTTCAGGACTCACATTTTCTCATGTGGGCTGCCTGCACAGCCATGTCCCCTCTTGTGTCCATTGCCTTCTTAAGAATGTTCCTTTTTCTTCATGGCAGTCTTTGCATCCTGTTTCCAGTTTTTCAACTGACAGGACCAAGGTTGCTGCCTACTTTTTTGGTTGTAGTAATGGCTAGTGGGAAAGAGAAGAAATGGTGCTGGAGTATGTAGCCACTGGTATGATTATATACCTAGTTAGTGGGTGGGGAGATCTATCTAAGAGCTGTTCATAACAACACTTTTAAATAAAACCAAAGCAGCAATATGTAAACAACTCTAAAACTGTCTGTCACTGAGTTGGGGTTACCCAGTTGTGTCCCTTGTCCTTTCAGACTGACTAGTTCTGCAAGGCAGCCCTGTGTCAGACAGTGTCCCTGTCACCAGAAGCCTCAGGGATTTCCTCACACCTGCTTGTAGCCATAACATAATACCATGAAGAGAGGATGGAGTAATCAATGAGGTGTCCACATGCATATAGGAGTTAAAATATTAAAAATCACTATTTTATTAAAATATGCCTAGATGAGTGTTTATCAAGATTAATGTCAGGGTATCACTTTGTGTAAGTAGGTTCATCACACTGTGTTGGGACTAAATCTTTTCCTGTGAACAGCAGGTAGATGCTGATCCCCAGCATTTTAGGTGGCTGTTTAGTGTTGGCCTACCTGTTCTTTTGATACCACTTTTTTTCTGCACATATTTCTCTTCAGTGAAAGGAAAGGTTACCAGAGCAACTGGCCCTGAGGAAGAAAACAGGTTCATACAGTTAAACAAATGGTAGGATCTATCAAATTGTATCAACTAGAAAACACTTTAAAAATGCTCATTACTCAAGAGTCTGGCAGAGCCACATTTATTTAATTGCTTCTGTCCTCTACTAAGACTGAAGCTGTGGTCTTTGAAGAAAAAATCTCACAACTGGGGCAGGTGTACTGCTTAAGGGCTGGCTTCAAATGAACCTTAAAGTGCTGGGGAACAGTCTGGACAAGCTGAAGAGAAACAATTCAGTCTGACAGAACCAGCAGAATTAATTTGGAACTCCCATCTCCCCACCAGTCTTACTTAATTGGCAGTATCTAGAGCTTTGGCTAGTTCATGCTAAACAAACTGGGAAAACAGCAACGGATAGTGCAGGAAAGGGAACAGACAGTAAATACACTTTTCAGTTAATGTATCTGTGGAATGGATTTAAAGACATTCTGTCTTCTTATTGCATATGTGGTAGGAAAAGAAAGGAGAATGAGAAAATACAAAGAAAATCTACAAGTGTCTGAAGCATTTTATCAACATAAAAATGGAAGTAGTGTATCATCCCTACAGAATGCATTTAAAGGAATAAGTAGTTGTAGGTATTGGAATATTTTTTTTGTCATGCTATGTTTCAATATTTATTTAAACCATTAGAAGTTATCAAATCATTTTATCTTTGATATTGTGTATTGTTTTTCTAGTTTGTAGAATAAGTGAGTGAAATATTTTATCAGTGTAGGTATTTCTGTCCTGAAAACTGCTAAAAAATTGCTCCACAGGACAACATGAAACCTTCATTGATCTACTCATGGAACAGAATCTCCTATGAAAAGCTTTCAGTACCTTAGAGCATAACATCTACTGAGTTAACTGTATGTCTGATCTCCTGATGCCCTTCTTGAAGGTATAATTTTAAACTTTTTCCCCTTTACTTATCCTAGAGCTGGAATCCATCTCTTTCTCCCTCCCAAAGAGAGGTTTATAGTCAATCACAGAAGTCTTCAGATAACTAGTTTTGCCATCCTGAACTGTGTTGAACATCTTTGGCTTTCATCACTAGAGGAAGGACAAGAGATTTAGGCAGTAGCTTATTAGATGTTCACTCATCCCACAGAGTGTCTTTGAGAGTACTACAGTATGTTATGTTTTCTTCCATCGATATGGCTCTTAATAACAACTTCCTCTCAGTTCTTGGAAGAAAGATAGATAGAGCCCTCACAAAGAAAGGTCTTTAAACATGGAATATTAATGTATGCTGTTTGCACTGAAGGCAAAACTTGAAAAGACTGGATGTCTACATAGTTCCAGTACTGGAGATCTCTCCTTGCCTCCCTCTGGTTAATTTATATTTCTACAGAAGGCTCACTCATCAAGCCAAGAATGTACACCTATAAATATTCCTTCGGTGTTTCTCTACTGCTTGACATAGTGTACAATTGAAGTGCCTGATCTCAAGAACTGAACTCCACCAGTCTACATTGGAGACTAGATCCAGGATTCTTTGAAGTCACCAAAAAATTTTCATCAAATGTAGTAGTTTGAGAGTCTTTAGGGCCTCTTCTACAAGGAATCAGGACCACTTGAATTTAACTGTGTTTTTTGGAAAGGAATTAAATGTGAGTTTTACTGCTTAAGCACATAAATGGTAGACATTGTCAAGCTATGAAAATAATACAACTTATCCTGTATCTGGGGAGTAAACAGGGTTCTTCTTCATCACTGACCTCAATATCCAATACATGGTACAGGTAATATCCCTACCTCTTTTCTCTTCACGTGTCATATGGGGGGAGTTCAGCACCAAACACAGATGGAAAGCAGCAGACACCTCTGCCTCTGTAAAGAGAAGCACCTCTCTTTGGTATAAAAAGAGCTTCCTTAAATCTGGGTCAATCCACTACTATATTGAAGTGCTTGTAGCCTGCCGTGGCTTGGACTTGTCCAACTGCCAGGCACCCACCCAGCTACTCTGCTCTCCTCAGGAGCACTGGCAGGGAAAAGACAATGAAAAACCTCATGAGTAGAGTTAAAGACTGTCACAAAGACAATGTATTGTTTAGCTGTGATACAGAAAACAGACATTTCTATCACGAGGGTAAAAGAGAAAATGAAACAAAAAGAGTGGTTGTAGAATGCAGGCCTGGAGATGAGGATTGTCAAAAGCTAGGTATGAAATTGTTATGTCTGTGGAAACAAGGTCCGGTGATTTAGCGCTGGTCAGAGCTGCTGAACAACACTTAACACCAGATGAGCCTAAAGAAGAAAATAATTAGGTTCTAATAGAGGAGAGCTATGTTTTAATTATCATGTTGAAAATACAGACGCAATGTGTGCAAATGAGAAAACAAGTGTGCTTGATACCTGTTTCATGTTCTGTCTGTCACTCCAGTTTTCCCTGTGGCGTCTCTGTGGAAGCTCTGGGGCTAGTTTACCAAATGCTGCCTGTGGTGTGTTGGTTTGTCAGCTGGAGTTTGGGGCTGTATTTAGCCACAGAGAACCAAAAAGTCAAGTCTATATCATGTTCCTTCCAGTGGGCTAAACAGTTCATTCTTTTTTTTACCTTGGCTTCCTTGCCAGGGACCTCTTATTTTTGAGTGTTGTTTTTTTTGTTGTTGTTGTTGTTGTTTTTTTTCAGATGGATTCCTTCCTGTCTTTACATTTTTCTTCTCAGAATTTCTTTCCTGGTACTTCCCTTACTCCCAGAATGCAATTTGTGACTTTAGATGAGATATAAAAGTGAGAACTTACGGTTCTTCTATCCCTACTCTTTTGAGATATAAAAAGTAAATGCAGCATATTACTCCTTCCCCTTCAGTGAGATCATCTTCCATTCCAACTGTTACGATAAACTATTTACCATGAGATATATTCACAGTGCACGTACTTTTGCCATTTCTTTATTCCTGGTTCTCAGCTTTTCATGCATATGGCTCACTTAGTGGACATGAGAGCACTTATATTTCCTTGGATGTAGAATGAAGAGACTCAGCCCCATCTTAGGGCAAGACTGGGTCCACATTCACCTTGCTTGTACCACTCCACCGTGGTGTCCCTTAAGGGTTCAGGCTCATGGTCCAGAAGGAGCTGTGTAACACTCTGGGCTGAGTCCATGTCTGGACAGCTTGGTGATCATGCAGATGAGACACACCATTACCACCAGACTTCATGTAGCTGCAGAGCCATAGCAAGGCCATATTGCTTATATAAATGACAGATCCTGCATTTAGAGTGTTGGTTTTTTTTCAGAAGAACTTCAAAGTACTTTTCCTGTAAGACGCTTTATCAGCTTTGGTGCTTCTGCTGTCACAGTTCTGAAATTGGAAATAAATCAGTTGTAACAGCTCAGTGAATCTTTATTTTTCTTTTCTTATATTTCTTTTTGCAGATCGCTCAGTAGCTGAAATTGAGAAAAAGATTATAGAAGCTTTTGATGTGTTTGACCATGAATGCAATAAAACTGTGGATGTCAGGTTTGTAAATACCTTCACACAGAAATATTACAGGGTCTAGAACAGAGATAAATAACTGCCTAAACCTGGATCTGCTTTATCAGAAAAGATAAATTGAAACAGTCCTTTTGGCCCTGATTGGACATGAATGTCTTTGTTTAATAGACATTTTACACTGTTCAGAAGTTGAAGACAGACTGCCTTGAAAGAGGGATACTGGGACTGAAGGAGTCAAGAAGCAAGAGGAAACTGCAGCTAGATAAGAAGTCCAAGGCTACAATCCTTAACAGCAGGTCTCTGCTCTGGTAGCTGATTTGGTGCTATAGGTCCTGGATCCTGTGTGGATCCGCTTGCTTTCAGGTTAGTCCCAGCACATGAAGGAATGTCCCTTGCAATGCGTGTTAGACTGAAGTGCTCTAGGTGGGTGTCCCCAGCTGCAATGCATTCTGCATATCTGTCTTCTTCTGGGGTAATGTGGGAGGTGGATGTTCCTCTGATAGGGAAGGATTTTTAGGAGACTTGGAAGAAAATTGCATAGGATTTGGTTATATACAAAACTACCACCAACTAAAACAACAGCATAAAGATTATCATTGCTCCAGAAGTCCAGTTAGTCCTATACCCTGGTCTGAGCTACTGGTAGTTTCTTGGGGGGTGGATATAAGGAATTGAGCAAATACACAGTATTTCTTCATGGTTTTTTGTATATTTGCCACTTTATGATTTGAGTGGCACCTGTTTTTTTGGGTTGGGTTTTTTATGTCTTATGATAAATAGCAAAGAATTGTTAATTATTAATATTCTTGGCACCATTAATGATTTCATAACTGTCTGTCACATCCATCCTTCATCACATTAGTTTATGGCTGAAGAGTCTGAATGTGTTTAATCTCTTAGGAGATGCCATTCCATAGCTGTGGTCATTCTTTTTTGTGCTCCTTCCTGTTCAGCTATCTCCTTTTTGAAGTGGGATGACTGGAACTGGGTGAATGGGATGCACAGATGGGAATCAGAGGGAGCGCTACATGTTCTATGCCTTCTGCATGCAGTGTTGTCGAAACACAAACAAAATATAAGTCTGAGAGTTAAAGACTGTTAAACTGATCAGGGCATAACTGGCTACAAGATACAGAGCTAAAGGAAGTAAAATTTTAAAATTCCCAAATAATCTTAATTCTGGTGGTTTTTAATTTTGGTATTTTTAAAGTTCGACTATAGAATCACAGAATCACTTAGGTTGGAAAAGACTTTCGAGACCATCGAGTTCAACCATTAACCCTAACTCTAGCAAGTCCAGCACTAAGCTGTGTCCCCAAGCACCACATCTAGATGACTTTTAAACACATCCAGGGATGGTGACTCAACCACCTTCCTGGGCAGCCTGTTCCAGTGTCTGACAACCCTTTCAGTGAAAAAGTTCTTCCTAATGTTTACTCTAAACCTCCCCTGGCACAGCTTGAGGCTCTTTCCTCTTGTTCTATCACCAGTTACTTGTGAGAAGAGACCAGCAGCTACCTCTTTACAACGCCTTTTCAGGTAGTTGTAGAGGGCGATGACTATTTGACAGTGCTATTTTAACTTCATTTTAGCATATACATCACTACATATAACAAGATAGCTTTTATTATAGCATACAGAAAACGTGTTTTTGTCTTACTGAGCAGGTTCTGAAGTTGTTACAATTGGGTGTCATTAAAGTTTATGGAAGTAATGTTTCATATTTACAATAATTATTTTCAGAAGGATATCACCAGAGCTTTTAATTATAAATTAATTACTGACTATAAACACTACAAAAGAGTATAAGAACTGGTTAAGTTGTTGTCATTAGATATTCTTCACAAAGCCAAATTGGAAAACATCTTTAAATGTTCCGAACGTCTTTTCTACATTAAAAAACAGAAGCTAGAGAGGTCCACAATATTTATGTGGAGATTTTAGCAATGCATGCTTACTAGTGCTTCTAAATTTAAGAAGTTATGGATACTTCATACAAGCAAAATGATTTTTTGGTTACACTAAATAGAGAGAATTTCAGTTTATGTCTCCACACTCGGTACAATTGCTGTTCCCTTTCTCATATGGCTCTTTGGTAAGAGGGCTCATTTCAGTCTCTTGGCCCACACCCAGGTTGGTGCCAGTTGCCCAGGGCTGGGGATGCCCTGGTTGCTCATGGCTGTGGCTGCCCTGGTGCTCCCTGGCTGCCCTGCTCCTTACTGGAGCCCCTGCCCTGCTCCTTACTCACAGCCCTGCCCTACCACCCCATGGGGAGCCCCTGACACTACCATCCAGTCAGCCCTGGGAACCCCTAGCCCTCACTATACCGTGATATCCTAGTTGCTTTTTTGTTTATAATTTACATCTGCAGTCCTGGCTAAATAGCTGTAACATTTCCTTCCATCCTTAGTCTACTATATGATGGATATAGAGCTTGATGAAATGTTACAACAATAAAATTATACAGATAGAGTCTCAGAAATTTTGTTCATTCAGACAGTAAGTTGTAACACGTAAGAAGGGACACTCAGAAGTCTATTTAACATAGTAAATGGACAATTTAACATCATTTTTATCATAGTAAAATTGTTGATGATGAACAATAATTTATTGTCTAATTATTACCAGGTTCATATTGCAGGACTGTGTCAAAATAAGGGAATTACTAACGGCTGATTATCTTTTATCAGAAGGTGGCAGTACAGCACAATCCATAACCACAACTGTAGATGTATTATTGCCTGAAATATTGGATACCTGTGAAGAATATGAAAATTACTCAGGCTCGACATGACGACACCAGTATTGCGTGACTGCTAGTGGAAATGCAAATTGCTAAGAAATTAAGCGTGAGGTAGATGTAATTGTTTCATGCTGCTTACAACATACCCTGAGTCAAGGACTTGCATGATTTTGCAAATCTTTTCATTCAAAGTGTTAAATCTAGGGTGAAAACCATGACCCAAAATTTTGTCACATCTGTGTTGCAAAAACTGTGTGGACATAAACTCATTTTAACCATCACCTTTGTAGGCTAGAAACTACACAGTAGAAACTTCAGGTACTGAATTAAGTGAGAGGAAGTGGCTGGGAGGAAAATACCATTTCCTGTCTGGGTCCTTTAAACTCCATGTTACTACCAAATGTGACAGGATATTTTTGACCACAGACACTTCAGTACCCTCCTGCTGA